CACGACCAATGAGGGCACGAGATAAGTTTGTGCACAGATGGAAGGCTGACAGGCAGGTAGGCCATCCAGTTATTTTAGCCGGGCCGGCTCAGATGATTGGTCGTGCTTTTTACAGCGCCACGGCTCCCACAGATTTATGTATTTAATGTCAAAGCATTTCATATATTCATTGCTATCGGGATGTTAAGAGCATTCCATGGAATACAACAAAAAGTTTTTCTGAAGTGAATCACCTACCCCACCTTTAACCATGCTAAGATCACAAGATATAAACCCAGTACAGTAAGTGTTGACATTATTGGCAGTATGGTTAAAGGTCATTCGGTCGAACAAGTTATGCTGGTTGTTAGCATCTTAGTTGTTTACCTGTGGTTTGGGCACAGCCGCCTTTGTTGTCTTTTTGGTAACCATATGTATAACTGGAGCAAAGACTTGATGCTTAGTTGGCCCAAATCTCACAATGTCTGCCCAGGAATTGTTGACTGAAAGGAAAACAGTAAAAAAAAAAAAAAAAGGGGTTAAAATTATTTGAATGTGGTAAACAAATAATGAAATTTGAATTATGTCATCTATTCAGCTAAAGTAAACTTTCCACAGAGCTCTTGACAACTTTGTTCTTAACACACACTTTTATTATCAATATAAAAGCATGATCAACTCCAAACAGTGTTAATGGGGAATATGTTACACTTTAGGGTCCAACATACCTTTCATAGATGCCCGTGAAATGCCACTTCTTCTGCGCATTAATGTTGCGCCACTTGGAGTCTCCCGTGAGGTGCTCCTCCTCCGGGTTACTTTAGGAGTAACAGGAACAACATCTTCTGCTCCAGGAGATGGTGTGATGATGCGTGACACAGAGAAACGCCCTTGGACACTCTGAGTCAGGACTGCTGGAGATCCACCGACAGAGGAAGACCTTCCCCTTGCAGCCTTGGGAGAGGGGGTCCTGGATTTGGGTGATTTCTTTGCAGGAGTCTTCTTTTTTTCAGGACTTTCTTCGTCTTCAAACTCCAACAAAAAGAACAAGACACGTTTTAAAATACATGAATATGATGTATAACATTGAGAGATGTCTTCATCACAAAGTCTTACCTCTAACAAGCCACTGGCGGATGCTCGTCTCAGGAGGGAATTTTTGGTTTTGGACACACGCGGTGTTGCACCTTTGCGCAATGGAGAATCAGGAGGAAGACGCTTGTCGAATAATTCAGGACACAGTGTGCCGCCGAAGGAAACACGCTTCCTCTTCATATCTGGTCCGGGCGTGTCGGACACGACTTCTCCACTTTTGCGTTTTTTGGACTTCTCTTTCACTAGGGAATGAAACGAACACGATACATCAGGAAAAATACATCTATTTTCACATGCTTTGATAGTTAGTTGAATTCCATAGGAAACTCCAGGTCATTACATTGTTTATTACCTTTCTCTGTTATGGGAGAGGTCTCTTCTTGTTCCTTAGTAACAGCAGGTGTTGCCTCCTTACTTCTTCGTCTCACAGGCGACTCCTCACATGTAAACCTCTGGGGGGGTGTACGGACTCTCTTCTGGAGAGTAGTCTCTTCAGACTGGGCAGCATTTTCAGGTGCGGCCATCTCGGTAGAAGGAGTCTGGAGGGACCTTCTCTGCTTCTTAGCAGACTTTGGGGTGGTGTTACCAACATTTTCAGCCTTCTTGGTTTCCTCAGCTACAGCAGAGACTTTAGCTTCTTCCTTCTGGGGAGTGCTCTTGTCTTCTGTTGAAATGACAGCCTTGCCCTCATTTTTCCTGACAGAAACAGGTCTTGGAGTGCAAAACCTGGAGGTGGGGGTTTGAAGGACACTGGCAGAAGATTTCCGAGGGGTCTTCACATCCAGGGACTGTTTGATCATTTGATACAGGTCGCCGAAGGGGGAGGCGGTTTTGCTTTGCTGCAGGCTGCTGTCCTGCTTGGGCTCCACCTCCATGGTTTTATCCAGAGATCGCTGGATGTTTTCTTGGTTGGTGCCATCTTTCAGATGAGGGTCTAAAAATAAGCAAAACAGAAAACTTCACATTAAAAACAATTAATAAAATACAAATGTACACTGGCAAGCATTACAAATATTCAAAATAAATGTTGGACAAGAGACCGGAGTTAACGGTAGTTTAGGTAAGAATGGAGAAACTAGCTCGAGTGCAGCCGGAAAAAAAACTGCCCCTTCCTTCAGACTTCCTTACAGAGCCCCTCCTCCAACACACATGAACGCGCACATGACCAATGAGGGCACGAGATAAGTTTGTGCACAGATGGAAGGCTGACAGGCAGGTAGGCCATTCAGTTATTTTAGCCGGGCCGGCTCAGATGATTGGTCGTGC